AGAGAACAAATTCAATGGTTGGCTTGGCAGGTCCTGCTCAAAGGTGACAAAGCTTTTACTACAGAAACACAAGAGGCTTATCTGGAGCACCCACCACATTTATCAGATTGCTGAGCTCTGCTGCTGGTTCTGCAGCCTTTTATCACCCGTGATTACAGATTTACCACAGGGCAAACAGCTGAGGGGTCAAAAGTCGGGCTGAGGCACAGATTGCTCCAGAGTGCAGAGTGGGCGCCAGTGCTGCCGGTGGTTCCTTCCTTGGAGGCACTTCCCTGGTTTCTGCAGGAATGGCCTCAGGGCTCAGTGCTCCCCTTCGCTTCACAGTGACACTGGTGGTGCTGCTGTCCCTGCTGGGTTTGGCTGTGGGTGGGAAGCTCCTGGTGGTGCCAGTGGACGGGAGCCACTGGCTCAGCATGAGGGAGGTGCTGGACGGTCTCCGGCAGAAGGGACACGAGGTGGTCGTGGTCGCCCCTGAAGTCAGTTTGTACATCAAGCCATCCAAGAACTTTGTGATGAAGATGTACCCAGTGCCTTTCACGCAGGAAGAGATGGATGAAGATTTCCAAGGATTTACAAAGGACTTGTTTGAAGGGGGCTCTTTCCTGGCGAGAGTCGTTAGGCTTTATCAGCGGTCAAAGAAAACCTCTGCTCTGTTCCTGGCCACCTGCACACACCTGCTCCACAACAGGGAGCTCATCAAGTACCTTGAGGACAGCAAGTTTGATGCCCTCCTTACAGACCCCATTCTCCCCTGCGGGCAGATCCTGGCAGAGCATCTCTCGGTCCCCTCCGTGTATTTCTTGCAGCAAATCCCCTGTGGTTTGGAATATCAAGCCACCCAGTGCCCCAACCCCCCTTCCTACGTCCCCAGGGTCTTTACAGACCACACAGACCACATGACCTTTCTCCAGCGGGTCAAGAATGTGCTCTATGACATCCCCAATTTTTTTCTCTGCGACGCTGTCTTCCAACCGTATGCCAGACTGGCCTCAGAATTCCTGCACCGGGATGTGACCGTGCCGGATCTCCTCCGCCAGGCTTCCATCTGGCTCATGAAGATAGACTTTGTCTTGCACTACCCAAAGCCCTTGATGCCCAACATGATTTTGGTTAGTGGAGTAAACTGTGCTTCCAAGCAGCTCAGCCAGGTGGGTCACGCTCTGGTTTTCCCTGGGGGGTTGGAGTGGCTCCGAGGAGCTGGAGCGCAGGGTGTGTCCGAGTCCTCGGGCTGTGGGCGGGGGCAGGAAGATTTCAGACCGCTTTTGTTCTGCACTGCTGTCAGTGAAGGAATCGCAGGTAGAGGTGGAGGGAGTGCTGTACATGGAATTAGCTCTGGGAAGTGCTGTGCCTCTGCTCCAAGCCACACTGGCACTGGAGGGGTGTCCCAGCACCTGTTGACCTGTTGCAAGACACACTTGGTTTGAGGAGACCTTCACTCATCCTCTGATCCAACTTGACTGATTTCCTCTACATTCCTGTATTTGTTCTTTAAGGGTGGATTCTCTGTGCTTTGAATTGTGAGAGACTCATGAAAAAACACTTCCTCTGCTTTGGAACATCATTTGAGGCCTCTCAGGGAACCTCCTGAGTGTGTCCAGTTAGGTCAGGATGGTCCTTCCTCTGCCTTGCTGAGTTTTGAGTATCTCCTACCTCCCTTATACCAAACACACTTCATCACATCAATTAATTCTGTATCCAGTTCAGATTTTCTGTGTTGCAGCTTTGCCACTGTCAATCTCACATTCAGCTTTTTATTATTTTTTATGGTATTATCCCAAGCCAGCAGCAGAACTTTGCTTTTCCCTTTGCTGGCTTTCATGATGCTGCTATTGCCTCATTTTCCCAACTTGTGGCGTTCTTTTTCCATATCCCAGGGCCAGTGGTGCTCCTTATTTAAAGTATCAACTGGCATAATTAAAATGAAGTATAAGTTGGCGACTTTATTCTTCTAGAATTATTCTTGGGTTTATTTCAGCCTTTTTTTTTTAATGTGTTTTCAAATCTACTTTGTGGTTTGCAGAGTAACTTCTATTTTTAGTAATAACTCTTCCTGCTGAGTTTTTCAGATATTGGCTTTGCCAAGTGGGTGAGATAAGGCTGATTTTTTGGGAAAAGCTGAATCTCACACAGTAAAAATGAAGCATTTTTAAAGAGGATTCAAACTTGGCACTCAAGTCTAGAAAAGATGGAGATGGAATGAAGTGTCCTGCTAAACCTTGTATAAAATCTGGAAAAGCTAAGGGTGGAAGGGGGACTGACAGGGAGTATCTCCCAATATTTGACCTGTGACTAACACTGAAAAGCAAACAAAAAGGAGAATTTTTCCACACCATGCACTCTAAGAACCCCAAGTCAGCCCCTCAAAAGCAGCAGATTATCTATTTTTTGTAGACAAAACCTATGAATTCAAAAAGGATTTGAGTGGTTATAAGAGGTGCAGGCTGACTGCCAGGATTTATAGGCTTACAAGAGGGATAATCATGGATTCCCCTCTCTGGGATATTTGTTGGACCATTCCCAGCTCACAGCCTTGGCACTCAACCCTGCACTTTGGCTTTACTTTCCCCTCTATCTCCTTCCACCCTTGCCTTTGGAACAGGCTGGACTTGTGGACTTCAGCCTCATAATCACGCGAAAGGCTGTTCCTGTGTTGCTCAAAATCCAGTGTCACAACTTCCATGAACTCTTTTTGAACTTTTATGAACTTTCCTAAAACTTTTATGACCTTTTTTTGAAACTGTTACGAGCCTCAAGGGTTTGGGTTGGGTTTTGTTACCTCTTCAGTGGTGTTTTATAGCGTTTTGTTTTAGTGTCTCACAGATGATCCATGTTTGGCTGAACAACTGTGTGTCAAACATGAGATTTGAGGGGCCTGTCTGTAGGGTAAGAGTATGTCTGCAACTCTGAGTTTACTACATGAGTAAGTACTGCCATCTTAAGGTGTATTTAATGCTTTGCCTTGTTAGGTGAGATCCTTTTCCCACAGAAATGTGGGAGTGGACTCACAGGAACTGGAGCTTCGGTTTTTGGCCTTTTAATGTCGTCTCACTTCCAGCTAGAGCCAAAGTTCGGCTTAAGCAGGGTGGGACTGTATGGAATCATGGAATTGCTGAGGTTGGGAAAGACCTCCGAGATCATCCAACCATCAACTCAACACTGCCAAGCCCACCACCAATCCATGTTCCCAGGTGCCACATCCACGCATTTTTGGAACACTTTCAGGGATGGTGACTCCACCATTTCCCTGGGTAGCCCATTCCAATGCTTGGTAACCCTTTCCATGGAGAAATTTTTCCCAGTATCCAGCGTGAACCTCCCTATTGATGTCTGAAACTCCCTCCTCTTTAATGCAGTTTCTTTGGATGTTACAGTCCTTCCTCCTGGCTTGTGAGAATCCCTTTTTTTAATGGGCCACATGGAGAACCTCCTCTCCAATTAAGCATTTTAGGACATAGTATCAGGCTTAGTGTTGGCCTCTGAATGTACTTCCCCCACTCCGGTGCCTTTGGCAAGGGCGGCCAATCCATGAAGCAAAATTCCTACCATTCCTGCCTGCTCCAAGACAGCCCTTCCAGGCATGAAGAAACTGTTCAGAGCTCTCTCTGTTTGGGTGTGCTTGGTTAGGGGAATCTAAAACCATTTGTCTTCTCCATCCAGCTCTTGTTCAGTTGCCATTCCTGCATTTTATTTGGCTTTTGTAACCTTGCCAGCTTTTGGCATCCAGCTTTTCCCTATCCATGAAATATGCCTTAGTGGCAGGTGAGATCTGCTTGGCCAGGCCCTCCTTCCAAGCACAAACTGCTTTTTTTAGGTTTATCTGGAAAGTTTTCCAGTGCCTTTGCCTGTCCCTCCCACCCAAAGCATTGCTTTGTTACGGGGAACTGTTTCATTCCCCCAGGTACAAGTTGGGTTTCCATTGCATCGCTTGCTCCAGCTTCAACCCAGGTTCTCAGGAATAATTAGGCACTTAAATGCCACTCAAATCAACCAGATTTGGGTATCTAAAGAAGTCCTGGGAGTGGACAGCAGGACAGCTGTGTTGTTACACAGGCAAACCTTAAAAACCTCCAGGGTAAAAATCTTTTTCCAAATTTTCAGTCCAAATCTCCCAAACCGTTTGTGACTGATTTTTTTTTTGTTTGTTTGGGGTTTTTTTGGGGTTTTTTTGTTGGGTTTTTTTTTTGTTGTTTTTTTGGTTGGTTGGTTGGTTGGTTTTTTTTGGGTTTTTTTTGGTTTTTTTTGTTTTTTTTTACTGTTACCCAAAAGAGTTTGGCTCAGTTATCAGGAAGAATCCAGGAGGAATTTCTTCCTGGCAAGGGTGGTCAGGCCTTGGCAGGGGCTGCCCAGGGAGATTTGGAGTCCCCATCCCTGGAGGTGTCCAGGGAAGAACTGGCCGTGGCACTGAGTGCTCTGGGCTGGGGGACAAGGGGGGGATCAGACAAAACTTGGACTTGATGACCTTGGAGGGCTTTTCCAACCTCAGTGACTCTGGGATCACTGTTACTCCCCATCAAGTAGCCTGTGATCAAGATCAGGACTCCTAATGTGGGTTTGGGGTTTTTCTGCCTTAGAAGTCATACCCTAGGGAATGCAGAGGCATCTCAAACTGTTCTCCCCTTCTTCTGGTGAGCACAGGAGACAAGTGTGGGCTTCTCTTGGCTCCTACCACAGCCAGGCCTTGATAACTTTTGGCAAAGTACCTGTTATTGTGACCTTTCAAACACATTTGTGCCATAGCGTCTCACCTGTGAACTCTTACAGCCCCTCTTGAGCAAGGACCTCACGTTCTGCTGCATCTTTGCTTTCAAAGAGATGTTTGGCCTCAGGCCACTCATCTATGAACTCTGGTGGCCCCTCTTGAGCAGGAGCTGCACACTGTGCTGTGTCACTGTTTGGATAAAAAGGTATTTGGTTAATAAGTCACCCGAACTCTGGTTGACTGGCACTCTTGGCGTGCCAGCTCCTGCAAACCACGGAGAGCATCCTGTGTGAACTCCAGGCACCTTTCCGAGCAAAGGTCGGAGGTTTAGGTCTTCCTTGTCAATAGTTCACCACAGTTTTTGTAGTACAAGCTCTCTGGAGAAGCTCAGTGGCCATAAAAGTTGGCTCCTGCCTTGAATCTGGCCCAGCCACGTGCAGAGTGACTCACTTGAGACATCCCTGACCCAGCAAAACCACAAGCAACTGCTGCCTCTGCTAATCAAGGGCCCTGCTGATTGTTCTCAATCACTTGAGATAACTTAAATGCATGGAACAGCTTCTTGAGGTGCCTTGATAGCACTTTAATCCATGCTTTTATCAGTGTTCAAACCCTGATCTTGGAACTCCAGTAACCTGTCTCAGCAAACATTTTGTAGGGGTAAACATTAAAGTCCACCCTGATATAAATGAGGTACAACTATTTTCTGCCTTCATATTCTGCTGAAAGGAGTAAGAAGGAGCAGTTGATCTCCTTTCCTGCCCCACAGCAGGGATGTGGAGGCATCAGGTAACCGCTGGGCTGGTTCTTTTCCTTGCTTTCTGGAGCGTGGCAGGAGCTGGGAAGCTCTTGGTGGTGCCTCAGGATGGGAGTCACTGGCTGAGCATGCGCATGGTGCTGGAGAAGCTCTGGGAGAAGGGGCACGAAATCGTGGCCGTGGTTCCTGACGCCGCTTTGCTCCTGAAGAGCCCTCAGTCCTTCACCATCAAAACATACTCCGTGCCCTACACGCAGGAGTTTGTGGACAAATACTACCACGAGCTGGGGGAGAAGAGCTTTGAGTTAACAATCACAGCTCTGCTCAGCAACGTCTCCCAGCTGACCAGCCTGTTCTCCTCTGCCTGTCGGCACCTCTTGTACGACCAAGAGCTGATGAGGTACCTCCAGGACAGCAAGTTCGATGCCATCATGATGGACCCTGTGCTGCCCTGTGGCCCCATCCTTGCTGAGCATCTCTCCCTCCCCTCAGTCTACTTCATGCGTGGCCTCCCGTGCACCTTAGACTACAAGGTTGCCCAGTGTCCCAGCCCTGTGTCCTACGTGCCCAGGACCTTCTCCTCCGCTTCGGATCACATGACATTCCCGGAGCGTGTGAAGAACCTCCTGATTGAGCTCTCAGAGCCTGTGCTTTGCTACCTGTTCTATACAGAGTACAGGAACTTGGCTTCTGAGTTTCTGCAGAGAGATGTAACGATGCAGGAGCTCTTCAGCAAAGCTTCAGTGATGCTGATGAGATACGACTTTGTTTTTGAGTACCCGCGCCCCATAATGCCCAACATGGTCTATGTTGGAGGCATCAACTGTGTGCAGAAGAAGCCACTGTCAAAGGTTGGTCGTTGCTTACCCCAAGGGTGTCATGGCATTTATTGGTGATTATTTAAGATGTGCTGGTTTAAGTGCTCTCTTGGTGTGTTCAGCTGGAGAAGAGGAGGCTGAGGGGAGACCTCACTGCAGTCACATCTTCCTCAAGGGGCAGAGGAGGGGCAGGCCCTGAGCTCTGCTCTGGGGGGACCAGGGACAGCAGCCAGGGAATGGCTGGAGCTGTGTCAGGGCAGGCTCAGGTTGGATCTCAGGCAAAGGTTCTTCCCCCAGAGGCTGGTTGGGCACTGCCCAGGCTCCCCAGGGCAGTGGGCACAGCCCCAAGGCTGCCAGAGCTCCAGCAGGGTTTGGATGATCCTCTGGGGCACAGGGTGATGGGCCTGTGCAGGGCTGAGGGTTGGACTGGATGATCCTTGTGGGTCCCTTCCAGCTCAGCGTATCCTGTGACTCTGTTCTGTAACATTTGTCTTGATCCGGTATGTGATCGAATCCCAGGATGGTCTGGGAGTGGGATTTCAGGCTTTGATAGATGATCACAAGGCTTGCTCTTCAAACACCTGAAGGGTTTCTCTCCAGGAGAGCTTAGGTCAAGTCGCCTGAGCTGTGTAGCTGCCTGTAGGTGTAGCTTAGCTTGTTGTAAGCACATCACCATCATATTGGACACTCAGGGCATGTTCTTTGTCAGAGAAATGACAAAATAATTCAGGGTCATGCAATTTAATATTCCTGACAGTTGTGGAATTAATCACAGGAGATGATTGTACAAAAAAATGGAAATCTGTGGGTATACCCAGGCACTTCTCAGTGCCACAGAGCACGGAGCTGTGTCGGGGGGGTTAGGCTGGATCTCAGGTTCTTCCCTCAGAAGGTGGTGGGCACTGACCAGGCTCCCCAGGGTTTGGTCACAGTCCCAAGGCTGCCAGAGCTCCAGGAGTGTTTGGACAACGCCCTCAGGGACAGGGTGGGATTGTTGGGGTGTCCTGGGCAGGGCCAGCAGTTGGACTGGATGGTCCTTGTGGGTCCTTCCAAATGAGGATATTCTAGGATTCCATGTGTACAAATACCCCAAAACCAGGGGTGTGCAGGGACACAGGGGGAGCTCTGTTACCTCTGGATTTGTGTAAGGTAGCAAATAAGAGGCTGATTGGGAAAAGAAGCCTTCAGGACTGTAACCATCTCCCCTCCCTTGTCTAAATCTCCCTCGTGCTGTGCGGACAGGGAGATGTCAGGGGTTTATCCTTTCAGACCAGGAGTTATTGCTCAGCTTGCGACACCTTTACTACTGTAAACCCAGGACTTTCACTGTGATAATTGCTGTGATAGAGCAACAAATCTGCAGATAAACCTTTACAACCCACTGCATATCAAATCTCTGTCAATCTTTGCTTCTTGGTTACACTCCAAGGGTACAAAGCAATCTAAAGGTCAGGCTTGTTCCTAGTTCTGTGTCCAGTCACTGGAGCGGACCCAAGGCAGGGAGTTGATCATTACCTGGATGTTAGTGATTGCTGGGTCAGTCCCATTCATGACTCTTGCTCAGCCTTTCAGCCCAAGATGCTGTTGGTCCCTCCTCCCTTGGTCCCTCCTCCCTTTGTCACTCCTCCCTGGAGTGTTTGAATCCTCTGATGTCGATCCGAACGTGCAACTTGTGCCCAGTTACTCAGAGCCTTCACCATGCACAGAAGATAAACCCAATATTTACCCACAGTTAAAAATTACCCCAATTTCTCTCTGTTAAAAATTAAACCCCACCTCAGTTAAAATTCAAGTGCAAAGTACCCCCATGGTTCATTCCTCCTCCTGCAGCCGTTTAAAACTCTGTTGGCCGCAAGAGGGAAATGACTCCTTCCAAGCCAGGATTTCATTCTCCCGCCTCCTGGGCTGTGTTTTGCCTGCTCCTGTGGACCTTTGGTGAAGGTGGGAAGCTTTTGGTGGTGCCCATTGACGGCAGCCACTGGCTGAGCATGCGCCCGGTCGTGGAGCGGCTCCGGCAGCGGGGACACGACGTCGTGGTGGTGGCACCGCAGACAAACCTCCGGATCCGCCCATCGGGGCTTTACACCCTGAAAACATACTCTGTGTCTTACACCAGGGAGTATGTGGAGGCAGAATTCCGACAGATGGGCCACAGGAGCTTCACGCCCCAGCCCTTCTTGGAGAAACTCGCGAAAATAGCCAATTTTACCACCATGTTCTTGGATTCCTGCAAACGTCTCCTGGCTGACAGAGAGCTGATCCAGTACCTCGAGGAGAGCAGATTTGATGCTGTTTTCATGGATCCTTTCTTTCCCTGTGGGCAAATAGTGGCTGAGCACCTCTCCCTGCCTTCCGTGTACTTCGTCCGGGGGCTGCCCTGCGGCCTCGACTCCCAGGCCACCCTCTGTCCCAGCCCTCCTTCCTACATCCCCAGGTCTTTCACCCGCCTCACGGACCGCATGAGCTTCCTCCAGCGCCTGGGCAACCTCGTGGCCAGCCTGAGCAGTTCCCTGGCTTGCTCTTTCCTTTATTCTCCCTACGATCCCTTGATCAGGGAGTTCCTGCGGCGGGAGGCGACGGTGCCAGAGCTGTTGAGCCGCGCGGCCCTTTGGCTCCTGAAATACGACTTCGTGTTCGAGTTCCCCCGGCCCCTCATGCCCAACATGGTCCTGGTCGGGGGCATCGGCTGCACTCGGGAAAACAAGTTGTCCCGGGTTAGTTCCCTGCTTTCCCTGCTGCCTGCACTGAGAGTTCTCTCCAGGAGATGGAGCTCCCAGGCAGGAATAAGTGATGCCAGGCGGGAGTGGCTGGGCAAGCACTTGGGCACCTCGGCGTCCAGCCCTGGAGAGATGAGGAGTTACTTTGTAGGACACCTCTATATTCCCAGGCAAAGCTGTACCAAAAAATCGGCTTTTCCTTTTCCCATTTTCCCTATTTCCATTCCCTTTTCCTTCTTCCTGTCTGCGGCTCCCTGACGCGGGGCAGTGGAGGGGCAGCAGCTCTCTGTGAGCAGTGACAGGACCCGAGGGAACAGCTGGAGCTGCCGGGGAGGTGTAGGCTGGGTGTTAGGAGAGGGTTCTGGAAGGCACTGCAACAGGCTCCCCAGGGCACTGGATGGCACTGGAACAGGCTCCAAGGCTGCCAGAGCTCCAGGAGCATTTGGACAACACCCTCAGGAACAGGGTGGGATTGTTGGGGTGTCCCGGGCACGGCCAGGAGTGGGACTGGATGATCCTTGTGGGTCCCTTCCAGCTCAGGATATTGCATGAACTTCAGGATGAAACCCACCCCACCAGTGAAGCAGCCCTTCTGCCACTGTTGTGTGAAATACTCTGGACTGTAAATGTATTTTGTTTGAACTGTGCCAAACTTCCTCAATATCTCCTGCTTTGCATTAAGAAATCTTCCTAATTCTCTTATTTTCCAGTGAGTGTCCACTGCAGGTATTTCATAAAGGTGGTGAGTAGCACCCACTGAGATGAGCAGATGCTCATTAAAAACACTGCTAAAATAACCTGAATATTCCCAAAGCAGGACTGCAAAAGATTTCCTAAGAGTAGTGGCACTTCCGAGCAGAACGTTGGACTGGTGTGACTGATCCCACAGAAAATAAATTGGGTCAAATATGCCTCTAGACAGCCCCAAAACTGTGGTAAAGAGCAGAACTAAGAGAGTCAGTCTTGATTGTCCCTCCCCATGGCAGAGGGTTAGAATGAGATTATCTTTGAAGTCCCTTCCAACCCAAATCATTCCATGGTTATCCCATCAGATCCTGGAGATAAGATTTCACTTGCCAGACTTACATGGACTTTTAGTTCATTTTATTCCACTTCTTTCACTCTGATTCCTGCAACAGTTTCCTTTTGTCTTTCCCTCCCTGGCTTGACCAAATATTTTTCTATGGCAAAGAATTTTTGCTCCAGCCTTCGGCTGTTTTTGTGCTTCATTGGAATCCCTTTGTTCTTGGATTCCAGTGCTGGATCTCTTGGTCCTTCTGTTATTGAAACCAATCAAACCAAATAGATACAAACCTCTGGCAGCACTTCAATATTATCCTACTCAAAGGAAAGACAATAAATCCAGGTACGAGGAGTTCAAGCTGTCAGAACACTTGTCCAAAATTTTAATTCTCTCTTGCAACTCTGGGTCTGAAAAGAAGAACATCAGGTCTAAATCCAGACTTAAAATAAATGTGGAAATGAGCCACCTGGGGAATGGCTGCCAGGAGAAATATGATGGTGATCTATCCAAGGCTTGGAGCAACCTGGTTGAGTGGAAGGTGTCCCTGCCATGGCAGGGAGTGGAATGAGATGGGCTTTGGTTTGGGTGGGAAGGGACCTCATTCTAGGATTCTATGAATTGATCTCCTTAATTGGTCCAGCCTCATTTTTGTGGCACAGACCATGTCTTTGAGCAGACAGGTTTTGCTACACAATTGTTTTCGAGCCAATTTTTCCTCAGGTCCATCGTGAATCCGAGCTCAGGCACCTCCCTGACTTTGTTCACCCACCTGCGCCCATTTCTTTTTCCCCAGGACTCATTTTCCTGCCCACAGCTGGTTTTCCTGATCATAATTTTGTGGTGTTGTGTCACATTTTTGGTTTGTTGTGTCGACTGCTTATTTTATTGCCTTTCCAGGGAGTTTTGTGAGAACACCACAGCACTTCCAGCATCTGACCTGGAAAGGACCTTGACCAAGGGTGTGCTTCCTTTTGGCAGGAATTTGAAGCCATTGTGAATGCCTCTGGAGAACACGGCATCGTTGTCTTCTCGCTGGGCTCCATGGTCTCCGAGATCCCCATGAAGAAAGCCATGGAAATCGCAGATGCCTTGGGAACAGTCCCTCAGACGGTACCATTTCCCTCTTCCCCTTCCAGCAGGGCTGTTTCCAGGCCCTCCCATCCCTCTCCTGCTGAGAACTGACGTGCTGTTGGCTCCTCCTGGCAGGTCTTGTGGCGATACACGGGCCCGACGCCCTCCAACCTGCCCAAGAACGTGAAGCTCGTCAAGTGGCTGCCACAGAACGATCTCCTGGGTAGGTCTGAGAAGCCTCAAAAGGCACCAGGGGGTTTCTGTAGCAATGGATTTATGGAAAAAGTCCTGCCAAAGATGGACTGGTGAATCAGAAGTTTTTAATGTTGTTTAAACATGTGTTAAGATGGCTTTTTGCAGAGTCACTGCTCCTTCTTCCCGACACCCTCTGTAAAGACCCCTTATCTCTCAGGCAGGAGTGTCCTGGGAAGATGTCCTAAGGTGTTCTCATTGGTCTTTTGTTAACCCCTTCCTTATTTGGCTGTTAACTCCCTACCTGATTGGGTTTTTTGTAAGACCCCTCATCTGTGATTGGCCCCCTTTGACCCTCCCAACTTTTACTCTTCCACTCTTCTACTGTTGTAAAACCCCATGAGCATCATCTGTGGGTCACAGGCCTTGCTGGGAGTCACCACCAGCTGACCCTGTCCCTGTGGGTCACAGACCATCCTTGCAGCCTTTGCTGCTGGAGCCAGAGCTTGTCTTTGAGAAAGTGCATCTTCAGAACTGCTGAATTATGGAACAGCTCTGATGGAAAGTGTTCCCAAAACTCCCAGTCCAAAACGGGAGTCTTTATCTCTCACTAACCAGTCTCGACGCCCCAGCTGTGTTTTTGTCATGCCTGCTGGGCTGAAAAGCAAATTTAGGGTCCTCAAGTGTGCGTTTCCAGGCAGGTCTTTGGGCTTTGCAAAGTGGTGAAGTTGTATGTGATGTTGCCAGGAGAGCATCTGTTGGTGAGACAACAGGCTCAGCTGTGGGAGATCTTCGCAACCAGCAAATCAGAGAATCACAGAATATGCTGAGATCCCATCAGGATCATCCAGTCCAGCTCCTGGCCCTGCACAGGACACCTCAACAATCCCCCCATGTGCCCAAGAGCATTGTCCAAACTCAGACAGGCTTGTTGCCACAACCGTTCCCTGGGGAGCCTGGTCAGTGCCTGATCACCCCCTGGGGAAAGAACCTTTTCCTGAGATCCAACCTAACCCTGGTAAAAAAGTAGTTCAATGGCAACATCCACTTTAACCCCTCCTCGCTCTGATTTAATCCTAAAGTCCTTGGAGGATTTTCCAGTGATTACCCCAACCAAGACAGAGCTCTCCAACTCCGGGTTCCTTCAACCCCCTGTTCTCTCCCCTCAGTCCATAAGGAACGGACAGCTCAAAGCTTTTGATTTATACCCCCAACAGCCCAAAGGTCTTGATTTACAGCAACCAGGGCTGTCTTTTGGGCAGGTTTTGTGTTGCTGTGAGTAAGTAACCCCAAGCCTGTGTTTGCCTCCACAGCCCACCCCAAGACTCGAGCCTTCATCACCCACGGGGGCTCCCACGGGGTCTATGAGGGCATTTGCAACGCGGTGCCCATGGTGCTGATGCCCCTGTTTGGAGACCAGATGGACAATGCCAAGAGAGTGGAGTCCAGGGGAGCAGGACTGACCCTGAACATCCTGGAAATGACCTCCCAGGACATCTCCACTGCCCTGAAAGCCGTCATTAATGACAAAAAGTGAGTGACAGGAGCGCGGCCTTCCTGCCGGCACGGCTGTGTGGCACCACCGGGGACTGCCAGGATGCAGGGATGGGAGGATGCAGATTTGGAGGATGCAGGAATTGGAGGATGCAGATTTGGAGGATGCAGGGATGGGATGATGCAGCTTTAGAGGATGCAGGAATTGGAGGATGCAGATTTGGAGGATGCGGGGATGGGATGATGCGGGTTTAGAGGATGCAAGGATTGGAGGATGCAGGGATTGGAGGTTGCAGGTTTGGAGGATGCAGGAATGGGAGGATGCAGGAATGGGAGGATGTAGGGATGGGAGGATGCAGGTTTGGAGGATGCAGGAATAGGAGGATGCAGGTTTGGAGGATGCAAAGATTGGAGGATGCAGGAATGGGAGGATGCGGGGATGGGAGAATGTAGGGATGGGAGGATGCAGGGTTAGAGGATGCAGGGATGGGAGGATGCAGGGATGGGAGGATGCAGAGATTGGAGGATGCAGAGATTGGAGGATGCAGAGATTGGAGGATGCAGGGATGGGAGAATGCAGAGATTGGAGGATGCAGGGATTGGAGGATTCAGGTTTAGAGGATGAAGGTTGGGAGGATGCAGGGATTGCAGGATGCAGGTTTAGAGGATGCAGGGATGGGAGGATGCAGAGATTGGAGGATGCAGGGATGGGAGGATGCAGAGATTGGAGGATGCAGAGATTGGAGGATGCAGAGATTGGAGGATGCAGAGATTGGAGGATTCAGGTTTAGAGGATGAAGGTTTGGAGGATTCAGGGATCAGAGGATGCAGGGATCAGAGAAGATGTGGTATAAATGCAGTGGAATAAGTCAATTTGACCAAAATGTCACCTCCTAAACCCAAATTTCCCAGGCAAAGGGGGCTTGGACACAACGTGGCAGGAAAGGCAATAGGTGAAGAGAGAGGTGGCAAACAGGTTTTATTCCCCAACCCAGTGGTGACACAAGTCAGGGGAGAGCCTGGAAAGGTGGAATGGTTGATTTTCTTTGCATGAGGCTTGCCCAGAGGTGCTGGAGGCAAGTGGTGGTGCCCTGGAGTATTCCAGAGGCTCTATTCCTTTAGGAACTCTGCTTTCCAGCTGGCAGGGTTCACCAAACAGAGCTGTTACCACTCATTTATTTTACAGATGAGTTTTCTCACTCTTTTTTCCCTCCCTGGAGTTCCTCAGGAGCTGTGTGAGCACAGAGAGCTGCAGGCTGGGCAATTCCAGCACAGAGCAGGAGGAACATGCAGGGATGCACTGGGGAAGGGCAGGGAAGATCCCAGGATTGCAGTCAGCATGGCCAGGGAGTTTTAAGGCATCACAGAGGAAAGGAGCTTGAAGACATAAGAGCTCTTCCCTCCTCCCATTCCCAGTTTCTTAGTCCTTGGTATCCTCTCCTCCGTCATGTTGCTGAGAAATAGCACCTTACTGACAGTGCTTCCTAACCACTGTTCTGACAGCAATAATAATGATAATATAATGATAATAATAGAATCATAGAATCATAGAATAGGTTGGGTTGGAAAAGACCTCCAAGATCATCAAGTCCAACCCCTGATCCAACTCCAATTACTATATCATGGCACTAAGGGCCACATCCAATCTCTTTTTAAAAACCTCCAGGGATGGTGAATCCACCACCTCTCTGGGTAGGCCGTTCCAATGCCTGAAAATATAATAATATTATAATATAATAATATAATAATTATAATAATATAATGGTAATACCAATAATTATGATGATGCAGCAGCTTGATCTTGAAAAGCTGGATAGCTTTTCTACCTCAGTCTGCCATTTCAGCCAGAGACCTTCACCCCAGAGGTTTTGCTGAGAGTTCAGACTAAGCTTTTCCTTGTTTTCTGATACCTTTCCCTCTTTATTTGGCATTGAAAACAGCACTATCTGGGCCTGTAACTTTGCCATCCTCCTCTTCAAGGGGTGGGAATGGGGAGGGAAACACCATCAGAGGAGCCCCCAGGGGCCATCAGACAACTGAATCTGCACATCCTCATTTTGGGGGGGCTCAGTCTCAGAAGCACAAGTCCAGTGGAGTCCAGAGAAGCTGTAGCTTCTCTATCCCTGGAAGTGTCCAAGGCCAGGTTGGACAGGGCTTGGAGCAACCTGGGCTGGTGGGAGGTGTCCCTGCCCATGGCAGGGGGTGGCACTGGATGAGCTTTGTGTTCCTTTCCAACCCAAACCATTCCGTGACTGAAAACTTCCCCTGGCAGGTACAAGGAGAACATCCAGCGCCTCTCAGACCTTCACCTGGACAGGCCCATCCACCCCCTGGACCTGGCTGTGCACTGGGTGGAGTTTGTGATGAGGCACAAAGGGGCCCCACACCTCAGGCCTGCTGCCCACGACCTCAACTGGGTGCAGTACCACTCCCTGGATGTCCTGGCCTTCCTCCTGGTCGTGCTGCTCCTCTCCCTCTTCATCTCCTTCAAGTGCTGCCTGTGCTGCTGCCGCAGGTGCTGTGGCAAGAAGGGAAGGACAAAGAAAGCAGCCAAATCCAAGACCCACTAGCAGGTGACTCCGAGTCCCACCAGCGGGTGACACCCGTGGTGGGAGATAAATCCTCTGCTCTGGACCCCAAGGATCAGAGAACAGCTCAGATTTCACTGCAATAAACACTGATTTTCAGTCCAGCAATAATAGGGATCCTTTAAAATAGCACCACAAGAGGGGTTGTTGCACTGAGATAATTTTTTGCCTTTAATTAAGAATCTGTTGTTTCAAAATACCTTGTGGGGAAATTGCTTTTCATGCTCAGACACTTCAGGGCCGAGTGGGAAATCCAAGGCTCCTGGTTTCCACCTCTTGGTGTACAGAGGCCTCAGAGGGACTTTTTGTTTTCACCTCTCCATGCAACAGGGATATACAGGGATTTTGGAAGTCTTCCAGGGTTTTAGGAGAAATATCTAGTGTCAGGTTTATCAAACACTCTGAGATCTTTTGTGTTGTAGAAGAGGCAAATGTTATGCACTGATAATGGAAACTAAGCTTCCAATGGGGCTGGGAATATCCTGAACAAAACCAAGGGGTTTGGCAGGGAAGCTGCTGGAAAACCACTGTGTTTCCCCCCAGCTTCCTCCTGCTCAGTGCTGTGACTGGAGCTCACCTGTTTGGTGATGAGACCTTTGTAAGCATCAGTTATAAACCCCAACTGATTGATTCCTGGGGAGTGATGCTCAGGTAAAAACCCAAACCCCAGCCCTATAAATAAACCCCAAATACTAAAAATAACGACTCTGGTGTTTTCTGCCTTGAGAGAGAGGGGGGTGGACACTTTGATCAGGGAGAAAGAGCTGGAGAAGGGAAGGATTGAAGCCACTTTGATCCACAAGCTCTCCTTGTCAGCATTCCCGTGTCACTTGCTGAGAGGTGACATCCTGAGGCTGCCACAGTTCCCAGGTTCATATCGAGGGCTCCAAACTGGGCTGTCCCAGTCCAGGTGTCCTGGTGCTGCTGTTTGAAAAAGCAGGAACTTGGAGGAAGCTGTGAAGTTCAAGCCAGTGCATCCTCAGCCTGTCTCCCGAATCTCAGGGCCCCCCATGGCACCCCCAGCCTGTCCAGGGCTTTGCAGGCCTTTCCCTGCCCTCCTCCTTCCTGCAGCAATGAGAGAGCCACTGTCACCCAGCTCTGCTCTGACAGGGCCCTGCAAGTGCTCCTGGCAGCAATTCCCTCCCTATTAAGGGAAGGTTAAAGGTTCCATTGGATCTGATTCCTTAGGATGATAAAAACAAGTCATCGAGCAAATCCCAGATCCCCCCAGCCAGGTCTTGGTGCTCCAAAAGCAGCCTGAACAAAGGGAGCAGATTGTTTTCCCTGGGAATGCTCCCAGCCTGGATTATCTCGGGGAGGGGGGACATGGTCCCTGCTTTGCTGGGGCAGATCCAAGCAAGCTGTGACTGTTCCCAAACGTGCCTTTCCCTGCCCTCCTCCTTCCTGCAGCAAAAAGAAGGAAACCCTTTTTTGGGCTGTGAGGGCTGAGCTGCTTTTCAAGTGCAGTTCCTGCAGCTCCACACGTTCCTCAAGTGCCAGCTCCAGGTGTCCCCTGTCCTGGCTGGAGCCCGGGGACAGCAGTGCCCCTGGAAAAGAGACCTTTTGGAGCCGGCACAGCCCCACCCGTGGTGGGTTCAGTCCCCTCTGAGCTTCCAGCAGCTGTTGGATGCAGAACAAAACCACTTTGGGATGTCCTTGAGGAGAAGTTCTGAGTTCCCTCGGGAGCAATCTGGTGACTTTTTCTGCAGGGACAAGGGGAAACCCTTTGATGTCAGGTCAGATGACCAGAATAAGGAGAAAAAAAAAATACAAAAATATCACAATTGCAGCTCGAAACCTCTCACTGAGGGGAAGAAGAGCTGAGAGTAAAAAAGAATCAAAATGCCCATCCCCTGATTTCTTTGATTTCGGAAAGATCTTAAAAAAAAAAGATTTAAGGCTTTTTGCCAAAGCGAAACTGCTGCAGAAAGTGGGTATCCTCCTCCTCTTCCTCTCCTTTTTGCCCTTCACTCTCCTTAGCCTCGACTACTTTGTCCTCCTGCTCTTTATTTTCCCTTGGAGAAAGGATATGCAGGGCCAGGACTGGAGTGTCCAGCAGAGGCCACTCTGGGATCACCGAGAGAAATCCAGGAAAAGGCCCCCCCTTCCTACCAAACCAGCCCAGGTGGGTGGGACAGCGACTTGTTTGTCCACCTGTGCTCCAGGAATACGGAGCCTGCAGCAAGGAGATGATTTTCAGAAGGAATTAGGAGCCAAAGCTCTTTGGAGCAACGGCTTTGGTGCAGAGGAAGGAGCTGGAGGGGCTGCAGCATCGCCAGTGGTTCTCCCAAACTTTCCCAAGGGAAGGGTCAATCGGGGACAATGTCCCCTCTTATTGCCCCTTAACTGGATCCTTGACCAGGGCAGAGCCTCCAGCCCAGCTCCCCTTCCCAGGAGATGGAGAACTCCACATCTCAGCCCGTTTGGAAGGCTCAGAGCTGGGGCTGGGGCACCTCCCGGGAGGGGAAACTGAGGCAGGACCAACCCTCACTCCCCTCCCCGAGTTCCCCAGAGCCCCAGGCTAAGCTTTTCCAGCAAACCCTTCAAATCTTTGGGAAAAGAAGCATCCAAAATCCCTTGGGGGTACAAACACCTCCCACTCAGCATCACTGAGCACCCACATAACCCCCTCCAGAGCTGGTGCTTTCTGCTCCCACCCGGGGACTTTTTTGTAGTGTTGATTTTATTTTTCCCTGGATTTTAACATCCAGTAAGACTGGGGGGAAAAAAAAGCAGTGGAGACAGTGCTGCTCCCAGCTTTTCTAGTGCCCCTCAGCCCCACCCCAGCTGCACAACACGGCCAAGAGGCTCTTTGGTTTGGGATGGGGTGTCCTGGGGGACACAGCGGCCCTGGCTCCCAGGGCAGGATGCACTTGGCACCTTTCCCTGCTTCCCACCAGCCAGACCACGGGAAATGACAGGAATTGCTGACATTTTTCTGCAGCCACAGGGTTTCTGCAGCCTCACCCCTCAAGGGCAGTAGGGAGGCTTTTCCATTGCCGTGGGAGCTCTGGGCAGCTCTGAGGCTCCTCCACCTCCCCAGTGTGGGGGTCCACGGAGACCCCTGGCCCACAGGGACACCCCAGGGTGCTCCAAGCCCTGTCCAGCCTGGCCTTGGACACTTCCAGGGATGGAGCAGCCACAGTTTCTCTGGGCAACCTGTGCCAGGGCCTCCCCACCCTCCCAGGGAAGGATTCCTTCCCAATATCCATCTAAACGTACACTCTGGCAGCTTAAAGCCATTCTCCCTTATGTTCCTCAGAGCTGCACTTAATTCATTAATTAATTACATTTATCACCTCTCTTTTGGGTGGCTTTCTACAAAGTAAATCCTTCCTGCTGCTGGTACCCAGTGACACCAGTCTGGGGGGGGAGGGGGGTTCCTGGGAGCTCCCAAACTCCCTTCCAGCCTCATTCCCCACTGTGGGAAAGCACTGGGAGCACGAGATGAGCAGCTGTGGTTGTGCATCCCGCTTCCCAGAGGGGCGTGGATGAGGGGAAGCCTCATTTAATGAAAACCACTGAAAGCCACCCCAAAGCCACCTGACTCCACACAGAAGAAGTTGGTTTGGGATTACAGAGCCTTGTTCTCCCGGAGAGCCTGGGGAGCTGTTCAGGGGGAATTCTGGGGGGGCCACACCACACAGCCCCCTGTGGGAAGCAGTCCAAGCCCTGGAGTTATCCCTGCAGCATCCCAGGGAGTGAGCCTGGCACTGGAGATGTCCCATCCCACGGCAGCACTGCCTGAGGGTGACAGGGAGCTGGCACCAGCACAGCCAGCCCCTTTCAGCTGGAGCAGGACCACAGCTCTCCAACTGTCCCCTGCAGGGTGGTTTGAGGAGGTACTTATGGGTGAGTGTGATGAATCCAGGGCAGAAGGGATTGCCAGAAGGAATCAGGGACAAAACCCAGGACAGTCTCTTCCTCCATGGGAGGAATGTGCTCAGCTGAGCCTGGAGAGGAGCAAAGAGCTCCAGCTTTAGGCTTTAAAGCCCAGGGAAACCTATGGAATTGTTAAGATTGGAAAAGCTCTCCAAGATCGACCATTAACCCACCACCACCGTGTTCAGCATTAAACCATGTCCCCAGTACCATTTCCAGGGATGCGACTCCACCTCCGCCCTGGGCAGCCCCTTCCAGTGCCTGACCACCCTTCCAGTGAGGAAATTTTCCCTGATATCCAACCTGGACCTTCCCTGGTGCAACTTGAGGCCGTTTCCTCTCATCCTGTCCCTTGTTCCCTTGGGGCAGAGCCCGACCCTCCCCAGCTCTCCCCTCCTGTCAGGGAGAAGGTCTCACCTCCCTCTAAAGGCCACTGTCACCCAATTCTGCTCTGACAGGGCCCTGCAAGTGCTCCTGGCAGCAATTCCCTCCCTATTACGGGAAGGTTAAAGGTTCCATTGGATCTGATTCCTTAGGATGAGAAAAGAAATCATCAAGCAAATCCCAGATCCCCCCCAGCCAGGTCTTGGTGCTCCAAAAGCAGCCTGAACAAAGGGAGCAGATTGTTTTCCCTGGGAATGCTCCCAGCCTGGATTATCTCAGGGAGGGGAGACATGGACCCTGCTTTGCTGGGGCAGATCCAAGCAAGCTGTGACTGTTCCCAAACATCCCTCTCCAGGTCCTTGTCCCAAACTGCATCCCAGTTTGTCCCTTTGTGCCGGATGAGGCCACACAGCTGGAAGTTTTAATTGCTGCTCAGTGGGGGGTAATCAGAGCAGGGCAGGATTATTCCCAACTCCTTGATGGGGTGGGGAGGTGATTTCAGCAAGGCAGGAGGAGTATGGGATGATTCAGGGATGGGCAGTGGAAGGAAGGGGAAACCACAACCAGTGTCACTCCCAGCATGGAGTGAGGCTGTTACTTCCCTGTTATTCTTTGGGATGCTGTAGGGCTCGTGCCTCCTGTGGGGTCAGGAATCCATCAACCATCACTTCCTCACCTTTGGCAAGCTGAAGCCACAGCCAGAGTCCCACATATTTCACTTCCATGGCTTGGGATCTGACCTCCATTGGAAGCAGGAGCACCACAACTGCCTTGGCCAGACACAGGGATGTTCCCTCCAATCAGGAAAAAATCTCTGTGCCAAAACAATCAGGAATTTTCTTACCCAGAGCTCGACCAAAAGCAGCAGCCTGGGGAGGTGAGATGGGTTCCAGTAACTTTCCCCTGGAGAGGGAGGGAAGGAGAAGGAATTGAGTGGAAAACCCACCAAATGACTCCCAGGTATCCAGGCTGCTTTGGGATGAAGAGACACCAGCAGATGACATCTAACTGGGAGCACTGGAATAGTAACAGCTTTAATTGAAATATTCTTTTTCCAAAAGTCTTTTTTCTTAAAAAAAAAAAAACAAACCAAAAAAACCCCAAAAGGAACATTAAACAACAGGCACAACAAGCAGGCACTGAACAAGGGGGGGGGGATGCAAAGCCCAGAGAGATCATTTGGAGAAGGGCCTGAAGGAAAAGGC